GTACTTGTGGTAAATCTTGCATTGTGCTTCCGTGTGCAGTTCCTTTTGCGCTGTCTTGAGCATATCCCTTGTGCATTCGTCTTGAAAGAAAACCGAGCTTAACCAAAGCTCATTGCGTGTGCCTGCCAAAGCAGTGGACCAGTCGAAATCGAATCCCCATTGCTACCATCGCGGAAAAGAAAGTTGCGGCCGCAGTGTGATTGTTTCAGCTGTCTTTGAGTTGTGTTTTTCTTGAGAACTGCATCGTTAGGAGCATAAGATAACTATTGGATGCTGGGAAGAGTCATGGGTCGGCTGGAGCGGCGTCGTGATACAATGGATGCTGCGCAAAGGAACACATACCTGAATCGGCAGCGCATTTTGCGCATGACGTTGGCTGCATTAGAAGCAGAACCTACACCAGAGGTGAGGAACAGAGCCCACATTTTTGCTTACAACATGACTGACCTTTCCCCAGACAGTCAGTCATCAGATGGAGAATATCCTCGCCCAGATGAAGAACCAGAAGCAGAGTTGAGATCAGAAGATGGTTATTTCAATGAACACAACGTCCCTGACATAGAAGCAGAGACAGGAGAAGAAGTGGCAGAAACCGGAATTGGAGAGTCGGCTGATGTTGAGATGACCGAGTCGACAAAGAGGACGACGAAGAAGATGATCTGATAGTGATATTCCAAACAGTGAAGATACAGCAGAGAGGTACCGGAGGTACATGGACGCTCCAATGGAGGAGTGTTCGGATGGTGAATACTGGCAGGCTTCACATCATTTGAGTAGCGAAGAGTCCAATGACGAGGATTCGAACGAAGAAGTTGAGACGGAAAGGTGGAGAGAACGCAGTTCATGAGAATTGAGCCATTTTAGATTTTTGATGGCGAGCAATTCAATTTACAATGCGTGTTGCACGGAAGGCTATGGTCGTGCTGCAACTGAGGATGCTACAAAATGTAGCTATACAAAGCAAGGTGGAAGACCTTTTCCGTGGTTACCTTGACGATGGTAACATCCACTTTAATCATGTGGTGTTTGAATTTGTACGTTCAACATCAAGGCGGGTGTCAAGTTGTTTTGTTTTACTTGAGACACCCCTAGGTACCACTGAGATGATGCACTCGACCGGTAGCGTTTCGTGTCAAAATCAGTGCGGACTCCGTTTGACAAAGTGGCTGCAAGTGACTGCAAAATCAAAAATCAATATGTACGTCATTTGCTCGCTCTCTGGGAAAAGCTTGACGTTTGCAGCGTGGTTTTGCTTCGCTGTTTTCTGAAAATGAGTGTTGCGAGCCTCAAGAAGTTTCCTGAGCACTGATCACACAAAAGGGCGCCGGTTCAGAACTGTTCTGTCCCCATATGACACGTTCCAATCAGTGCGTGGGTGCGTGGCCGAAACCCCTTGAGCGGACTTGATGAACATGTTTATGTTGGAGTCTTGTTGCAAACATTGGAAATGATTCGATGAACACCTTCACTTGCACATGCGCATGCAGCGTTAAACAAGAGTTGCAAGCCTTTGGATGGGTTTTATGTGCTGCCAAAGAGGGAGAAAGGGAGACAGAGAAACAGACATAGAAAGAGAAAGAGAAAGAAATAATAGAGAACAATTGATGGAAATTCCAACACAGTGCGGTGCTGCCAGTGCCATGCAATAAACCAAAAATTTGGTTTTCACTCATCCCAAAGTCACCATTGGGTCGTTGCACGAATGCCCACTGGCTATGTAAACAAACCGTCGGTCAGCAAAAGGCTGGTGCTGTCGGACCTGACACTTACCAATGACAAGTGGTATCGGAGGCGGTGGCTGCACTTGCTGCGCGAATGGAAGTAGACAATAGCATACAGAGACTATTTTGTTACATGTTTTTAGTATATAATGGAAGCCCCAATTTACACACTCTACATACCCGAGCGCAATTATTGCGCAAACAGTCCCGTGCAGCAAACTTGTGGCCCTGGTTCCACTTCCACGCTCTGCACCGTGAAGCCCTGGGGTGACCAGGTATAGTGGGGCTATGTGGCTTGGTGGCGTTGTTGTTGTCGTCACACGTGAGGGCGTATCTTTGTGGGCCCAAAATCATCACTTGTGTCCGTACGTGGTCATACCGAAGTTTGTGACGTCCACTCCAGTCCATTCGTAATTTGCGTTCTTTGGCGTTCTCACAGTCGCCATCAGCCAAACAGACAAGCTTGCAATTCATTCGTGGGTAGTTCTCCCCAACGTTAGGGATCATCGGTGGTGGCTCTGAAGTCCTTTCACTGACCGTGTTGCAGTGGACGGCCGAGCTCGTGCACATTTCCCACTGTAAACATATTTTTGGATTCCAGCCCTGCCGATGTAAGAATTCCCGTTCGCTGCCCAGTGTGTCTCTTTTTGGTCATCTCTTCATATCGCCTTTTTTTCTCCGCAAAGTCGGCATATTCTTTTCCAAGTCGCACCTTTATCTCCTCTTCCTTGAAATGCAGTCCAAAATTAAAAAATATTATATAAATACAAAGACACATATAATATCCAGTCCACGTGAATTGGGTCGGTGGAAGCACCGAACTCAACCATCTCAACAACGATGTTTCAGGTTGATTCGGATTCGAACTTATTTGAAGGTTGAAGGCTCTATGACTGATTTGTCACGCCCAGACTAGAGAGCCCCGACTTCCTTTCAAGGGTAGTGTTTTCCTAATATTTGAATAGGGAGTTCTTTCATTAGGTTTCGTGCATCTTATGTATTTTGCGTTCGCCCGCGCGGTTTCTGGTGGTCCAATGGGGATGATGCCAGACGGCTCAAGCCGGCAGCAGTGGAATGCACCGTTGGCTTGCCATTCGGGACGAAATGCAATGGCACTTCAAACGCCAAACTGCTCCCAAATCCGTTCAGTGCGGCATTGGTTATACCAACTCACGCCGTATTGTGTGGCAGGGGGGGGCAATCAAACAATGCCACCCGTGCCTGGAAGGCACCTCCATGAGCAGCTCCCCTGGCCCAGCAAGGCCCAACGGTCTTGGGGGCCACCTGGTTTGCATCTCATGCCAACTCCCGTCCACCAGACCCTCTTCCATCTCGTTTTCATGACCGCGCAACCTTTTGCACCATCAGTTCCTTGGGTTTTTGGCATCGCCATATCTGTCCTTCACAAACAGGCGTCCGCCTCGCAGGCAACTCGCTAGGTTATTTGCCCCGCCTGGCCTGGCCCAACTATACCAACTACGCCTACCATCCAAATAGTTTTGGCCTTGGCTTACCCGGCCCAAAACCGACCAGAACCAGCCGAAGGTGAGAAACCTGGCGAAACGACCGTTCAACACGCGCCGGCCCTAGGAGGCCCAGCACTGGTCGAACGAACTCAGTGTTTTTCGCCTGTTGCGGGTGCATCGATGCTGCATATTGAGTTCGTTGGTTGAAAAATCACTCATTGTTTATCCTCGTAGGCCGGTGGCTCGAGGATGAAAAGGCTGAACTGCAAGAAAAAAATTCTCAACACCCGCCCTCCGCTCCCCTACGCTGGGGATGTGGTTGAAGAGTGAGGGTTGTGTCTCTGGAAGCTCTGTTCGGGTTGATCACTCATGCTGTCTTGAAAAAAGGCTCTCTTTCTCCCCCGCTGCCTGGTGCCACAGGTCCGACTATAAACGAGCCAGCAACAAAGAGGACTAATAAGAGTGAATGTGTGCATAGGAATATACATATGGTTGGTGTTTTTCTTGTTTTCGGCTTACATATTTTTAAGGGTAGTCGACCTGGCTCTCTCATGTATGTGTGAGGGTTGGTTGCGCTCCTTCTCTTTAAGACTTGGAGGAGCCTTGCCAAACACACACACACACATATATTTATACATTTACAGTATATCGCATTAATTCAACCAATCCTGCACGGTTCTTTCAAGCAGGACCGGTTGAAAGTATTGGATGTCATGGTTACGTTTTTAAGTCCTCAATTGGTGGTGCGCTCCACGTGTCCCCACCATGTGGCCCCGCACTTGAGGCGTTTCAGATGGACACCACCGCAAAGGCATAGTGCTGCTACGCACATCAGTTAGAGTCAGCGCTCCTCCAAGGCTTGCTGAACCCCAACCTAGTTTACACACTGTTTGGCAATCATGGTTTGAGTACCTGCGGCGGATGCTTATAGCCGTAGCCTTATAGCTGGATATCAGCCACAGTCAGCCGCTTTTTGTTGAAAATGTACGCTCAGGGGGGTTGGAGTGCTTTCTGCAAGTTCACCCGGGCAAAATCAGGAAAATCTCCGGGTTTTTCCGCCAGGAACTGGTGAATTGCCTTGTAAGGAAGGATTTTGTATCGTAGGGAGATGACCCCCCGTTGGATCAAACCCTCCTGCTGACGATGGGTGCAGTGAGACAAATGATGGTGAGAGATAGAGACCAGTGGCGGATTCGGCCGGTTTGAGGGCATTGCGAACTATATTCCAGCCAAGAAATAGTTTATGTGCTTCGTAGCCGCCTCTAAGAACACGCGGAAACCAGCGGCAGACGAAAATTCGATTTTCCCGTCAGGTTTGCATCAGGTCCTAGCAAAAATGTGATGAGTTTCACCATGAAGAAACGCAACTTTCATGTAGGCACTGCGTCGGCAAAACCAGTTTCATCCTGTAGCAAGTGCAAAGATGCAGTTGCTGCGTTTTTTGCGGCTGCTTCTATTCGCACCCTCCACCCACACATGCTTCACAGTGCGTTGCGGTATTTTAGCACGGTTTCGCGCAAAGTCCTATAGTGCTGGACAATTCTGGCTCTAGCATGTGGCTATGGAGAGACCGTGCCCCCCAAAATAACACATATTATGTTTTTTAAGAGTGGGCGTTTGGTAAGGCAGTTGCTTGTGCAGTTGTTGGCTCAATACATGGCTGTTTTTGGCCTTGGGAGCTTTACGGTGGCTGCCACTCGGACATGCATTTGGTCATGGTGCGCTGTGTGCAACATGCACGAAGTGGGAATCATTTTTCGACATGTTACTGCATTCGCTGCGTGTAACGGCAAGCAAGGATTGATAGACACTCGGCCGAACAAGTGGTTCAGGTCGTACTGGGCCTTGCGGAAAGCAGACCCTTAACCCACGTCAAGTTTTGACATGGTAGCGGAGCGAGGATGGTCATTTCCTATGGAACTGGGTTGAGTTCCGAGAGTTCTTGAGTTGAGGCCGGGACCCAAGCCCCCACAGGCTCCCGCTTCAAGCGCGCGCCCCACTCACCGAGCCACATTTTAATGTTGCAGTTTGCTTGCAATCCCTGCTAGAGGGTATTTGGTCTGGAGAGTGGAAAACTTCTTGGATTACAAGCTTGCCTTGCCTACATGCTGTCCCTTCGAGAACGCGACGGTAGAGGAGAAGGTGACGATCCTCTTGATATTGCTTAATTTAGGAGGCTGCTGGATGTTAGGCGGTGGGAGGGGCAGTATGGATGGGTCAAGAGTTAATTGCATAAGTTTTAGCTACAACACATGCTGCCACCCAGCCTGTCCAGACGGCATCAGCATCTACAGGGGTAGTGGAGGGGGACCAGAGAGCACGGGAATGATCAGAGGGATCTGGTAGGAGATCTTGCAGTGGCGTGATTGGTACTGGTCTCCAACTTTAGGGTTGGAAATAAGATTGTCCATGCACCAATTCAAAGTTTGTTGCACCTTGTGACACCTGATGCCGGTTTAGCAGCCAAGCACTATGACGACCAAAGCCAAAGCGGATGTTGTCCATTGAGCCTCTACCCTGTCCTTTGGGCAATGTTCTCCATCAATGTGGCAACAACTGAGTTTGTGTTTGCGTACACCATACCCAAACGGGCTTCAAAGGAGATCCTCGTTGGAAGTGGGCATGTGCCTTGGCAAAGTGAGATGCAAAGATTCTTCGGTGTTTGGAGATGGGCCCACAGCGATCCTGAACCATTCCATTCGAAGAGTTGATGATTCCTGGCAGAGGTACCTTCAGTGCTACAGTGGGTTCTCTGCCCATTCCGGGGAATTCCAAATGGATTTCGATGGGCGCATTGTGCCATCAAAGGGGCCAGTGACACGTGAAGGACCGACAAGTTTGACTTTCCAGGCGCCCAAACGATCTAGCAGGAGATGATGAAACGCAGGAAGTTGTTGCCGACCCTCGGTCTTATGCAGGGATGCAAATAGGTGCCACAAACTCCTGGAACCTCTCCAGTCAAATGGTTTTCATCGCTGTCTCCTCCTCACCAACTATTGCGTCGTATTGCGTCCATGTGGTAGAAGGTTTCATTCTCCTCTCTTGCATATCCCCACCATCTGGTTGTGCTCTGGGCTTGGACCATCACTCTCACCCGCATTCTTCTCAATGGTCTGCTTGAATTTCCTGATTTTCCTGGTTTCTGGTTCTGGGCTACCCTCAGGTTGTCCAACCTTATGGGAGGTAGTCCTTCGAGCAGATGGTGGTTCAAGCAATGAAAAGGCATTTGGTCCCTAGAGACATTCACAGACAGTGACTGGGCCGGAGCAAAGGGGCATCGGTGATGAACATCTTCAGCAATCCTCCTGGTGAATGGATTTGGTGGGTGGTAGCAGCTGCTCCAAAGAGCCAGAAGTCGGTGAGTCTGAACTCTGTTGAAGTTGAACTCAATTCCTTGGTGAGCAGTGCAGCAGATGGCGTATACCTTCAGCGGTGTCTGGAGTTCCTTGAAGGTGAGGAGATCCATCGCAGTTGTGTTGTGGACAATTCGGCTGCCTTGCATCTATTCGACCTTTGCCGAGAGCACGGACACAGTTGATTCTCAATTGGTGCAACATCTACAATCTACATCAGCAACCACGAGAAGATTGGCCAAGAGGAGCGTGCGAGAAGTGAAGCGGAAGCCGTGAGCAAATCCAAGATCAACAAACTAGCCAAACTCCTGAGCAAAATTCTCTTGCTGGAGGGCCTTGAACGTGTGGCCGGGATGGAGATGAGTTTGGAGGACAAGTGTGAAGAGCCTATGGCCATACAGGTTCATGAACAAGGCACAGGAGAAACCGGAAGTGCAATGTGTTTTTTCTGGTTGGAGTGGTTCCGACGCGCAGGAACCTTGTTGGCCAACGATGTGGGGTTGCACAGCCTGAGGTTAATGACCTCCGAGCTTTACCATAACGAATTCTATGACCAACTTCAACTGAACATAACACTCACCAAATAGACAGGTCCAAATGGGTTGCCTGGTTCTCTGTGTGCCTCGTGTTGATGACCGATGCCTCCAATGTGTGTGCTGCTACAAACGATGGTCTGAACTACAGGAGTTTTGAGGAGAAGCAGGCATCTTGAAGCGTGAGATGACCGAGGTGCAGGAGATGGCGTGATGATTGGCTCAGTAAGTAGCAGCGAACTCGAGGACAAAATCAAGTAGTGAAGGCAAATGGCCATGCAATGCTATGCATAAACAACACATCCAGAAACTCGAAGCAACATATGGCAGCATGGAAAGGAACAATCGAACTGAGAACCCAAGAATCAAGCATTCAATGGAGATCCACTATCACCATCCTTTCCTTTACAGCCCAGAGTTGAAATTTTAAGGGTGGAGTGTTAAGACTACCGCACCCCTGCGCAAGGATGACGCACAAACGCTGAGTACCGCAGGCCTTCAATCTTGGTCAAAAGGTTCTGACAGTTTCCCAGCGATGTGAGGCAGCTCCATTATGGTTTTTCCGCGAAAAAGGAACGCAGAACGAAAAAATCATGCGAAGTGCACGCTTTTGCTGCATGTACGGTGTGTGAGAGAATGCGCCCCAACGGAGGCAGCAGGCACACCAGACAGAAAGACAGCTTCTTAGCAGTGACAAATGGCAGTCTTGTTTGTCGCGGTTGCAGAACGTTCGGCTAAGCACACGCGACTGCTTGTGGTATTGCAGCAAATTTAGCATTTTCATTGGTGTGTAGAAGGGGTTGCCTGCAACCGAAGCAGGGTGATGCGCTTTACAAATGTGCACCAAAAACATCGTGCTACGTGCGCGCAACAGCTTGTGGCCCTGCTGCGCAGACAGCGTGTTTCCGTTGCTGAAAAGGGACTGCGTCCTGCGTCGTGAGCAAACAAACCGTCAAAAGACACGTGCAAAAACTCGTTGCCGGCACCAAAGCCTTCTTAGTAATTACGTATGCGCGGCTGCCTGCGTAGAACACGTTTAGCGGTGCTGCGAAAGATCGTTCCATAGCGGTAGCGGATACACACGGCACACTGAGAGGTTGCAGGCACGTCCCGTTTGGTATATGCATGTCACCTGACGATGTTTTTAGGCGGAATCCAGCACAGCCCTTGACAGTGCCCAACGTTCCAAGGTTGGACGCTTACCAGGTTCCAATGTTCCACGGTGGCACCTGACAGCCCGCAGGGATCCAAGCATCAGAACTACAAAGCCACCTTTCCCTTCACAAAGGCGTGCCTAGCACCTCTTCCGACACTTGCAGCAAGAACTCCAATGACTCCAATAGCTTTCGCCATCTTGGGACGGAAGCGGAATTCCATCCTCGAACAAGGGATTTTGGGTTCTGTGTGGGCTGGGAGTGGTGCGCAGTGTGTCCACAAGTTTTTCCCCCTGCCCATTCCCCAGTTCAACCCCACTTCCTCGCGTTTTTGCTCCCCAGTTCCTGCTCCTCAGTTCCCTGTACATTTCACAAGACGATCAAAGCGTAATGAAAAAACAGGGGCAAGATAAAGGGGACAGCCAAGGGCAGCAGTTCAGCCAAACAACATCAGGCAACATCACAGGAACAAACGCCCAACAAAAGCAACAATGTACTGTAATCAACCGGTGGTCAATGTGACACATTGTGGTGTGGAGATCCCAACGTGGCAATGAGGCAACGGCACTAGGGTGCAGCTCAGCGCAAAAATTGTATGTTCTTGGACCCGTGTTGCTTCATGTTGCTTCAGGATCATGCCTTTTGCAATTTTTCAATGTACGTGTTTTTTTTCCCGGATGAGGGCACAAACCCCGCGTTGGTCGCTAGGTTTCCTAGGTTGTCCGATCTGCATCAACTCACCAATCTGCATGGTCACATGCACAGTGACTGACAATTTGGCCAGGTGATCCCGTTTTCTGCGCCTTGGCCAAGCACACGCCTAACCCAACAAAGGGCTTGCAAAATGCCTTTTGCCGTTGAAACAGGTGAAACATGTTGAGACGTCAGGTGCATCTAATATATCCGATTTGACTCGCTTCTTCTTCTTCATATTCACCGTGCAAAGTGGCAGCATTTGGTTGCGGGTTTAAACTCGTTTACCGTGCTTTGTTCTTTGGCTTGCGCTTTAGTGTTCCGGCATGCGTACTTGAGGAACAACGTCGCGCCTAGTGGCTGAACGATTTGGATCACGGACAAGTGAGGCATGTCAACATCAATGTGTCGGCGCAACTTGACGACCTCTATGATTGTCATTTTTTCTTGTGAATTGTAATTGAAATAACTATTGCTGTACAGTATGTAATGTGTGCATGCTGTTGCCCGAATTGCAAGGAATGCAAGTCTTCCAAGTGCTGTGCCTCCTGTCCATCAACCATTCTGATGCCGTGTCGCCGCTTGAAGTGACGGGTGGCATGAAGACTGAAGGGTCAAAAAGCCTTGAGTGCTAACCAACGTACTTATTGACATGTTTCTTGCCCGCAGCGCTGAGGCACGTATCAGGAACTGATAGCAATGCAGTGGAGGCCGCACCTGCTTTGAACGGTGTCGGAGTTAACAAAAGTCTGGTTGATGCATAACGCTTGATTTTTCCAATCCCATTGCTGTGGAAAAGACTGACTTCAGTCAGGACTTTTTTGTAGACAGCGAACTGTCAAACCACGGTGAGTATCATAAAGCGTTGCAACAGATTAGCTTTGGAAAGTCCCTATTGGCTTTGTTGGGGTCATCATGGTTTCGGGTGAGGAGGTGCATGACGGCGCTGGGCGCAAAGGGACTTCATCAGCTTGGTCGAGCAGTGCAAGGATCGCAGCGAAAGCGGGAGATGCACCTCGAAGCACTTGGCACATGAAATTGTCTTTAGGGGCCTCCAACCTAATAGCGTCCTTGCTACTGGTAATACTGGCCTCCAACCCAATAGCGATGGCCTCCACCTGCTAGCTTCTTTAGCAACTACAGTATATTAGACCTCTCTTCCTTTTCTACTAGCTTCTTGCTACCAGTGGTAATGGCCTCCGCCGAAGAGCGTTGGCCTCCAACCTAATACAGGATCTATATTAGACCGTTCTTCCTTTTCCAGTAGCTTCTTGCTACTAGTAGTAATGGCCTCCAACCTAATAGCGATGGCTTCCACCTACTAGCTTCCTGCTACTAGTAGTGATGGTCTCCAACTTAATGGCGATGGCCTCCACGTAGGAGCATTTTTAGCAACTATATTAGACCGTTCTTCCTTTTCCAATAGCTTCTTGCTACTAGTAGTAATGGCCTCCAACCTAATGGCGATAGCCCCTACCCAAGAGCGATGGCCTCCAACCTAATAGAGGATCTATACTAGACCTGCCTTCCTTTTCTAATGGTTTCTTGCTACTAGAAGCAATCGCCTCTAACCCAATAGCGATGGCCTCCACCCTACTAGTAGTAATGGCCTCCAACCTAATGGCGATGGCCTCCACGTAGTAGCTACTTTAGCAACTATTTTAGACCGTTCTTCCTTTTCTAATAGCTTCTTGCTACTAGCAGTAATGGCCTCCAACCTAATGGCGATGGCCTCCACCTAACAGCGATGGCCGCCAACCTTATGGAGGATCTATATTAGACCTTTCTTCCTTTTCCTATAGCTTCTTGCTACTAGTAGTGCTGGCCTCCAACCCAAGCGATGGCCTCCACCTGCTAGCTTCTTTAGCAACTATATTAGACCTTTCTTCACATTCTACTAGCTGCTTGCTACCAGTGGTAATGGCTTCCACCTAAGAGCGAGCGATGGCCTCCAACCTCTTTAGATCTAGAGTGGTTAGCTTCTATCTACTTCTCTATTTGAGCGCGTTTTGTAGCAATGCTTGTGCCATAGCGCCCAGACGCTTTCCGAGGTGGACTGTCAGTGGGACGATTGGGTTGACTGGAGTGTTTGTCAGTTCTCGTGCGGTGGAGGTGGATGGTTTACATTTGTGTTTACGTTGTTGCGTCCTTGCTGTGAGAAATTTCAAAGGACTCTCTTTGGCCGAGTCTTGCTTGCTTAGCCCTGGCTGCTGATTGGAAGGACAATCAGTTAGGACGAGAAAGGTCAAGATCATGGCGCAGGGAAATGGTGCTTCTTGGAGCACACCTACAATCTGTTGATGTTTTTACACATTTTCATTTATTGCGCAGTTCGTTGTTGTCGGGGTGCTTATCTTATTTTCTTACTACTGTTTTTTGCCACAGACTCCGGCATGCTTGTGTGAGGAGCGCACCTGAGGTTGCTTGCGACAACAATGACAAGGAAACACGTGTGTGCAACAAGAACCCGTGTCCACTTGACTGTGCCTCCTGGCGAACACTTGCCGTGCTTGCGACAACGGTAGAAACAACACTTTCTTTGTTCTAAATTTGTTGAATTTTAACAAATCATAATGAATTGTGTTGAGTGTGCGCAGAGTCACCAGGTTTGGGATGAGTGGTCGTCCTGGGGTGCTTGCTCCGTGAGCTGCGGATCCGGGGTGAAGGCTGCTACCCTTGTTTTCAATTGAGCAGTTATGCTGTGCCACTATGCCAAGAGCATAGATCATTGTATAGGTCTCTGATGTGCTTTCATGCCGTTGCCGCCTTATCAGGTGAAGACGCGTGAAAAGAAACAATATCAGCAATTTGGAGGCAAGGGTGAACATGCCGATGGCTTTTAGCCAAAGTTAGAGGGGCACAGATCAAATTATAAATAAATAAATAAGTGTCAATGTGCGAATGCTCATTCATGAATTTTACATGTCAGGATTTGCAATGTGTGTTTTCGCCGCATCCGCGGCCATCTTATGTGTTCGACGCCTTTAGGGCCCTTGAGACCGCCAGTGGCTCGACATCTTGGAAAAGCAGTGCGTTGATCATCGATCACCACCTTCGTTTGTTGTTAGCACGTGGACCTCGAGAGCTACGTCGCTTTGATATTGGTAGCGGAGCTCATCACGATCCTCGTTGAATTTGTCAAGGGCACCCTACATCGTTGAACACCTCTTCAAGGACCACCTTGACTTCGAGAGTGAGCTCACCACAAAGATCGTGTTCGGCAGGACAGGGGAACCATGAGTCAGCAGCAAAGAAGAAGACGAGAACAAGATGGACCCCATGCTGACGTTCCTGTTCCACCTTCACCTGTCCGAGAAGCACCTTCACCCACTCGAGCGAACGGATCTTCCAGCCCTACGAATGGTGGCTATGGCAATGGCTTCCGAGGTCTTGACAGTGGCCTCGCAAAAGCTGCTCCTTCTTCGGATGGACTATGTCAGTCAAACTACCGCAGCTATAGAAGAAGACTTGAGTTGTATGCCCTCCAGTGCCATCGCCGTTCGAGTGAAGCTGAGATCGAAGGCGCCCTCCTTGTGGTATCGCTTCTTCGCGATATAGCCTGGGAAGCTGCAGAGCAGTTGGACTTGAATGACATCACCACTTCAACCACACCTTTCGCTCCCATCCTTCGAATGCTTGACACCCTCTACCAGTATGAGGAGCAGGTCGAAACACCTTTCAGGTGTGAAGAGTTCTTTCAGAATTTTCAGCGAAACAAAGGTGAAGAACTTCAAGCCTACTTGGTGCGTCATCGCACCGCCTTGAAAAAGTTGAAAGAAGTGAAGATTGATCTTCCTCCTCTTCTCGCAGGTTGGCACTTGTTGACCAGATCTGGCATTCCTCGATGGACTCACCTGCAGATCAAAGCTTTGTGTCACGGAGAACTTGAATATGAAGCTGTTCACAAAGCTCTTCTACGTGTTTTTGGCGGTGACCACAAGCCAAACCACAAAGATATCGGAGGAAAGCACTTCAAGGACGACCTGTTCTTCGAAGAGGACGTCGACGAAGAGTTCTATGAAGATGGCGAAGATGATGAATGGTGGTGGTCTGAAGATGCTTTCTATGAAGGCGATGAAGAACCTGAGGAATATGAAGTTCCTGAGGAGCTTGAGAATGCCATGGACCAGGTCGATGATGCTTATGTGACGTACCTGGAGTCAAGAAAAAGAATGAAAGAATTGGCATTGTCTCGTGGCTTCTATCCCATCGTCGCTCTTGCGCCCGACTATGGAGGTGGAACACACAAAGGAGGCGGAAAAGGTGATGGCAAAAGCAAAGGAAAAGGAAAGAGCAAAGGAAGCAAAGGAAAAGGCAAAGGAAAAGGCTTTGGCAAGAGATCCAACTTCATGCCACGAAGGCCTATGCAAGGATTGAGACGACCGCCCAACAGCACTTTGTCCAACTCCAATGTCAATGACCTCAAGTCCACCTTGTCCGGCTCCAACAGTGCTCATGGACCACGCTTCAAACGATACAGAGTACAAGCGCAGGGAGTCAAAGAAGTCTCTGATGAAGTGACGATGGTGGAGGATGAATATGATGAGATTCCCAAGGATGAGATCTTCTTCAGTGATCTGGCTCCTGGCTTTGCGATCATTGACTCTGGTGCCACTCGCACTTTGGTTGGTGAAGAAGCTTGGAAGAAATGGGTGGAAAAGTATGACACGCAGCTCCTTGGAAACATCAAAGTCCACCCGCAACAGCGTGCCTTTCGCTTTGGAGGTGGAGAACTTCTTCAATCCGAACTTGAGATGGAGTTGCAAGTGTTGGTCAAAGGCCAGAAACTGCCTTTGCGAGTTTCGGTTGTTCCTGGACCCACGCCTTTTCTTCTAGCCCGACCGGTTTCTTGAAGAATGGAGCGTGAAACAAGATTTTGCTTCAGGATCTTTGAAGATCGGTGAATCTGAGTGGTTCCAACCTCCTCGTGGAAAGAAAGGACACTACTTGGTTAATCTCCTCGACTACAACAGCCTCCCTGAAAATGAAGACCTGAATCTAGCTGTTGAAGAAACTTTGGAGATCATCATGAGTGTCTTTGAAATTGAACCGCAAACCAACTTGGACATCCATGAAGAGTGTGAGACAATCTTCCTGGAGACTGGTGATGACGACATTGGTGAAATCACTTCAAAAGTGCTGAACAAACTTCATGAACAACGAAAGTTGATTTTCTTTGAGGTCTATGTGGATCAAGGAGCACTTTCCTCACACCTCGCCAAGATCTATCCCGACATTGAGTTCTCTACCTTTGGATTGCCAGAATGGGACTTCAATCAAAAGCATGTTCGAGAACAGTTCATCGATCTACTTCGACGACAGAAGCCGCACTTTGTCTGGTGTGCACCGCCTTGCACTCGCTGGTCCAATATTCAGCGATTGAACATGCTGAAGCAAGATCTACGAGAGAAAATCCTCCGATTGCAGAAAGAAGAAGAAAAGACACATCTCACCTTGTGCAAGGACACCATGGATGTGATGGAGGATGAAGTTGATGGTGGCATGGTTCTGGAGCACCCTCACTTGGCTATGTCATGGAACACTGAAACCATGAACATCATGCAAGGCATGGATGCCATCTGCAATCGATGCCGGACAGGTCTGAAGTCCTATGATCGTGAAGGTCATTGCCTCGGAAAAGTGAAGAAACCAACGAGACTGAGAACCAACAGCCCTGAGGTCTTTGAAGCTCTTGATCTTCCTTGCCTCTGTCTTCCTGGAACTCATGCCCCTATGGAAGGCAAATCGAAAGAGCTCAAGAGCATGCAGAACTATGAGGAATTGTTTGTGAAAAAGGCAGCCAGTGCAATCTACACTGACATGGAGAATCGCTGGCGACGCCGTGAGATCTGGCGCATCTTCGTGACCGAGGAGCTCATGGAAGAAGAAATGGAGAGAAAGAAAAGAAAAGTGAATGAAGCTGAACTGCAGTTGGCCAAGACTCACAGCAAGCAAGCAGTCAACATCGTGGCAAAACTTCACAAGCAACTTGGACACCCAGGACGCGAGAAGTTGACACAATCTCTTCGAGACGCTGGTTTTGAAGATGAAATCGTCCAATGCGCCCGTGAATACAAACGCGATGTTTGTGCCGCTCACAGCATGAAGAAGCTGGAGAAACCTTCCTCCTTGCCTCAAGCAAGCCACTTCAACCAGATTTTGGAAGCCGACACCTTTCACATCAAGTGGAATGATGAAAAGAGACGTGTGCTTGCAGTCTTGGATGTGTACTCTCGCTTTGAGATCAATGCTGTGATCGCTAGAGAAACTGAAGAAGAAGAAATCCAAGTTTTGCAAGAACGATGGCTCAACATCTTTGGCCCTCCGGAAGTTTTTCGAACTGACTCTTCTGGTGCACACATGAGCCAGAAGTACTTGGACTTCTTCGATCAGCATGGTATCCGTTTGGTCCTGGTACCCAAAGAAGCTCACAACCGCATGGGATCAGTTGAACGACTTCATGCTGTACGCCGTCTTCAGTTGCTCAAAATGCAAAAGGAAGAACCCAACATTTTGTTGGAAACTGCAGTGCGTGTCGCTTGTTACCAAAGAAACCGTCTTCGTTCAGTACATGGAAGCTCACCTTATCAGATCGTTTTCGGACACAACCCACATGATGGAGGCCTCGCTGATGAACCATGCAAGTTGAGGCCTGATGAAAAGGGAGCTCATGTCGAAGACCAAGCCTTGCGACGCCTTGCTGCCCAAGCTTTCCATGCGGCAAACACCAGCACACTGCTCAAGCGCGCTCTCAATGCCAAAGTTCGAGCTGAGCACCCAGAGATCTATATCGGAGACCATGTGTTCTACTGGAGACCTTCACCTGCCAAACTTGACGTTGAACGATGGCATGGTCCCGCACTTGTGTGCGCAATCGAGCCTCGAGTTTTGGATGATGGTTCAACTCGTGCATCTGTTTTCTGGGTGGCGCATGGAAGCTCTTTGGTGCGTGTTGCCCCTGAGCATATTCGTGCTGAAGTACCTCGTGAGAGAGCAGAACGACTGAAGACTCAACCTGACTCAGCTCACACTTCCTGTCTTCGAGATCGAGTTCGTGCTGCTCTGGCCCCTGTGCAGGGCCCTGTTCGTTTTTTAGATTTGGCTGGGGATCCCCCTGCTGCTCACGCATCGGGAACTTCTGTGTCCACTTTTTTCGCCTACTCCTTTGCAGTCTTTGAACCAAAACGTGCAGGACATCCGGGAGTATGACATGGACACTACGAACACAAGCACAACTCCAGCAAACCAAGCACAGCAACAACAACAGGAGTTGAGCACGACAGAACAACAAGCAGACGAGATAACAGAGACAGCAACAGGCAAGCAGGAAGAAAAGCAAGCACATGAGAGCAACAGACAACATACAGCGGCAGCAGCAGAAGCAACAGCAGAGAGACGTGAGAGATCTCGCAGTCCTCCTCCAAAGGATGAACAGCATCAACGATTTGAGCAAGTGAGTCAAGCAAGTGCACTGAACTCCTACAACCAGGCACGGCAACTTGATGGACTACAACCAGTGTCACCTGAGAATCCACAATTCCTGCAGCACTACAGCAACATGACTGGTGTAGATCAACCTGATGATGCACTTGCCACTGAAACATTCAGTGAGAAATACTTATCACCTGAGGAGAAGCTGCAATTCGACGAAGCCAAGGACACTGCACTCAACGTGTGGTTCGACAATGATGCTTGGCGTGTTGTGGACGCCTCAGAAGCTGGTCCCGGTGAGATCATTCCTGCTCGTTTCTTGCAAAGGTGGAAACCCACCAAGACCGGGAAGAAAGCCAATGCCCGGGTCATCATCCAAGGATT